CCATGTAGCTTTCTTGTCAAGCTGAAATTTGTGGCAAATTGTTATGTTGAGGATTATGATACAGGAGTAACGGATTAATTTGTTGACTTGATTTTTGCAACAAAGAGTGTTGTTGCTGCAGTAAGAGGATGTGTGGTAACACCTGCTCTTGTGCGAATTTGTCTCTGTCTGTCACTCGGAGTGTATACGCGTGATCTGATGCGTGTTTCCATTTATAGATGCCACTTGTGTAGCTATCGACAGGCTATATGCATCCCTTTTTTCCCTCTAATAAACACGTTTACAGTTTGCAGGACAACAGCACTCAGACGCTCTTACTACAGAAAAATTACAAAACGAGCGATAGTTTGGCTTGTGTCCTTGATGTTCAAGAAGAAGGTTGTTTCAGTGGAGGGGATCTGGCAGACATCAGGAACGGCTGCGTGTCGCTGTACTGGACCTCGAGGTCAACCTCTTCATGCTCTTATGAAACCAGTGACAGTACAAATTAGCACCAGGTGCTCTTCATCCCATAGAACCAGATGATTTTCATTTTCACAGAGCTCCTCTTGACCACACACTCCTGCGCCGTGTCATCCTGCTCCCTAGTTCTAAATAAAGATTATCAAGAAAATACTATTTAACTATATGTACATTTATTTATGTATATATATATGCCTAAATTATGCACTTGTCCTTCCTTTTTCTTGTCAAGCTGAAATTTGTGGCAAATTGGTATGTTGAGGATTATGATACAGGAGTAACGGATTAATTTGTTGACTTGATTTTTGCAACAAAGAGTGTTGTTGCTGCAGTAAGAGGATGTGTGGTAACACCTGCTCTTGTGCGAATTTGTCTCTGTCTGTCACTCGGAGTGTATACGCGTGATCTGATGCGTGTTTCCATTTATAGATGCCACTTGTGTAGATATCGACAGGCTATATGCATCCCTTTTTTCCCTCTAATAAACACGTTTACAGTTTGCAGGACAACAGCACTCAGACGCTCTTACTATAGAAAAATTACAAAACGAGCGATAGTTTGGCTTGTGTCCTTGATGTTCAAGAAGAAGGTTGTTTCAGTGGAGGGGATCTGGCAGACATCAGGCACGGCTGCGTGTCGCTGTACTGGACCTCGAGGTCAACCTCTTCATGCTCTTATGAAACCAGTGACAGTACAAATTAGCACCAGGTGCTCTTCATCCCATAGAACCAGATGATTTTCATTTTCACAGAGCTCCTCTTGACCACACACTCCTGCGCCGTGTCATCCTGCTCCCTAGTTCTAAATAAAGATTATCAAGAAAATACTATTTAACTATATGTACATTTATTTATATATATATATATATGCCTAAATTATGCACTTGTCCTTCCTTTTTCAAATTTAGCAAAACAGATGATGCATGCTTAATGCCATTTTAAATGTTTCAAATGTTTAATAAATATTGAAGCATTTTAGAGCATGCATAAATGTATATAAATAAAAAAGAGGATTTTTAATCTTCTACTAACAACTCTAATTACTTACGTTTTCATGCACGTTTGAGGGATGAAAGATAATTACAAACCGAATCTATTTTTAAAGACAGAAAATTAGGCTTCATAAATTTCTCTGACAGCTTGTGGGACTTAAGAAAATATTTCCGGTGGTTTTTCCCATGCATTCTGGAAATTTCTAGGGAGTGAGAGTGTCAGTGCACTGGATTGATTTTGACACTGGGACGGCCCTAGAAATGGTCAGCTTCCTGGGCAGTGCACTTAAAGTGTTACTCCACCCCAAAATGAAAATTTTGTCATTAATCACTTACCCCCATGTTGTTCCAAACCTGTAAAAGCTTTGTTCGTCTTCGGAACACAATTTAAGATATTTTGGATGAAAACCAGGAGGCTTGTGACTGTCTCATTGACTGCCAAGTAAATTACACTGTCAAGGCCCAGGAAAGTATGAAAGACATCGTCAAAAGAGTCCATCTGCCATCAGTGGTTCAATTTTATGAAGCGACGAGAATACTTTTTGTACGCAAAGAAAACAAAAATAACGACTTTATTCAACAATTCGTCTCCTCCTGTAGTGCCACTGTAAATGTGTTTATTAGAGGGAAAAAAGGGATGCATATAGCCTGTCGATATCTACACAAGTGACATCTATAAATGGGCACTGCAGGAGGAGACAAATTGTTGAATAAAGTTGTTATTTTTCTTTTCTTCCATTAGTACATTTTGGAAATAACAAAGTGCTTTAGAAGTATTTGTCATTGTTAGTTCATGTTAAGTAATACTATTAACTAATTTACTAAATTAACTACTGTTAACAAATGGAACTGCATTGGAAAGTGTTACAAAAATAATTCGCACGTTTGTTGTTATTGCTGTAAAATTAGAATTTCGCTGCATTGATATCGACTATTGACATTTTGTATAGTGCAGTGTAAATGTGCAGCAGATAAAGGCGTTTTCGAAGAAGCCTTTACAGTAGCTGTGAACTGGGATGAAATGCGTTAGGTGTGTTCGCTGGCCCACAGACCCTCGGAAAGTGAAAAGCGATGAGCAAGCAAGTGCGACATACCACACGAAACCTCTTCCCCCATAAACTGTGGCGCTATGTAAGCATCTCAGCCTGTTTTGATAGGACTCTGGGTCCGGGCCACAGAGGGGTCCTGTAGTTTGGTTTCCTGCGTATTTGGAAGTATTTCTGTGGGGAGGGGGAGGTGCGGAAATTCCTGTCTTGCATAAAAGCAATGTCACAGAGTCCACATACGCACACGCACTAATCCCATAAACATGAACCGGCACCCATAGGATAGGACAGTCCCCACTACAACCTACCTCCGTGAGTTTGAAAACACATGCAATGAGTTTAGCTGATTTGAAATTAAAATCAGGGGGTGCAGCAAAGGGATGGGATTATGGGAAAAGCAAAACAAAACAGTATCTTGATGGTTTTTCGGCATCTTGACTCAGATTGTACTCGTTTGTAATGCAGCGAAGGGAGATGCGTTGCTCTCAAACCATCAGCTGTCTGGATGCCTCCTGCCCTCTGGCCTGAAAAGCAAACCAGTCATACCAGGAAGAATGTTAAAAACACCATCTCCACGGCCAACTCATGGTCTGATGTGTGAGGGAGATGAAAAACTCTTGCTGCTCAGACAGTGTGAACTTCAAAAATCACATCTGTGACCCTTGTGATCTTGCGTTATGATTTAAATTCAGCATGAAGCCAAAACTGACCCGGTTTACATCCTTCATGCATATTTTTGGTCTTATTGTGAATGTTATTCAAATCTGCACTGAAAACAATGGTGTAGGGTTTACTTTGAAACAATTTTCACTCAGAAATTGCACAATTTTGCACAATTGAAATGGCAAGTAACATTGAATTAAGCATACATTTTTGAAGTAGAAAGATGGAAATAATATTTTCTTGTAAAACATACTTTAATAATCTTTTTTAAGACTTAAAATAGTGACTTTAAGAAAAAAAAAATATGTTCACAAAAATTGAAGTTTGCATCAGCAAAGGTTTATGATTCTTTCACGTTTTGTTCAACATGATCATCATCTTCACAAATGAACGTGAACTCGACTTTCATTTTGAAGCTTAAATATGATCGCCAGAAGTAAAGCTAAATGTAGGATATAAAGTTTAAGCATTAAGCTTTCAGTTTTTATTTAAAAACATTTTATTGAAAGTATGAGTTAGAATAGTTTGCATGAGTGCAATTATGTGATCAATGAGGCTGAGAAAACGACTATTGAGTAAATGAGTTTATACCTGTTTGGTGTGATGTTTAATTTCCCCCGACAACCTCTGTACTCTCATTTAGATACTTGTTTACCTTTTTCGTGACAAGTAAAAGCTTTTAAAACTCACAAGGGTTAGGGTTAGGGTTATGATGTAGAATAAAAGATGAAGATATCTTGAGCGTGTGATAAACACAGACATTATTTCAAGCATTTAACCAAAAACCCATTGACTTCAGGTCAGTGGAACTGGAAGTGCTAAAATACTCAAATGTAAGCAGATTGTTATTCTTTTGTGTTGTCTTGAAGTTTTACACTGTGTTTTTCTTTCTAATTGCAGAACCTACAGCCAGAAAAAGGCCACGCTGGAGAGAGATTATGCGCAGGTGAGATTACGGTTTTTGTGTTTCCTGATGATGATGATGATGATGATGGTGTTGTTGGTGATGATGATGTCTGAGGGTTTGTGTGCATGTTAAATCTTTTCACCAAAATCTAGAGTGTTGATTACAGCCCTGTTGCATTGATTTATATCACGCTGCAGCCGTGCAAACGTTCACTGCTCTTTTGGGAACCATCAAAACAAAAGAAAATCCATCGCCCACCCTGCTTTATTGCTATAGTAGGACCACTGGAAATCTGGTTTTCCAGAATATTATTAAGGGATCTCTAGTTTGATAATCATTCAGCATTAATGAGCCAATGTCTTTTGCCTTTCAAAGAAGTAGGAATCTGTCAACATATGATTGATTTTAGCTAATTAACATTGAGCTAAGCAGAAATCATGCCAGACGTCTTGTGTCCAAGTGTTTCAAACTTCTGTCGCCTTTGAATGTTGGAATGTACGCAAAGATCTTGTGCCAAGTTAAGCTTAGCATAGATGAAGTACGATTTCTGTATTTAAAAAATAAAATAATGAATGCACCCTTTAGTTGGTAGACAAATTCGATAAACTTGTCTTGTAGTTTGCATTAGGCTTTATAGAAATGATTTCTGGTGTATTGTTGGATGCTGAATTATGACCAGGCATATTGTCTTGCTGGTTAAGTATGTTTAATTAGTTTGTTTGTTCCACATATTGCAGTTTTTGCCATGAAAATAGCCTAAGATGCTTACATGGCATTAAAATGTTATGCCCCTTACCATACTGTGATACCCTGTCAGGCTGGAGCGAAGATACAAAAACAATAAAACCCATTACAAACGAGGCATTTGTTGCATCCAGTGGAGACATAATTATGGATTATAATGACTTATACTGTCTTTTTATGCGTTGCGTTGCGTTGCATCGCGCCGCGTAAACATAAAACCATGTCTGCATTTGTGATCGGAGAAATGACAAACAAGCACTACTCTACACTGCTCAAAACTCGCGTTTGAATCGTCAGTAGTAAATCCTTTAAATGAAAACGTACTTTCAGTCTGTGAGTCAGAACAACCGGCATTGTAGTCTACTCTCCCAGGATCAGGAAACAGTCCTCCATAAAATGTGCTGCACACATCTGGATATTTGGGTTGAACTGTTCTGGAACAGTGTTGTAAATACAACTTAACCACTGATTTCTAGTCCTGTCCTCTTTTGGAAGACCAAACAAAGTATTTTCGCTTTCACAACGAAACACAGCGTCACACACGGCGGCCTTGAGAATGCCGCGGCCAGCGGATTCGATGAAGAAGCGTCCGTCGGGCTTGCGGCAACCACATGTGGCGACCCCGGGCTGGACTCCGATGGACCGATCCGACAAGCCACAGCCCGAAGTTGATGTATTTCCTCAGCGACCAGCACGGATCAGCTCTAGGCATGACGAAGCAGATATCGTCCTCTTTTGGAAGGCCAAACAAAGTAGTTTCGCTTTCACAACGAAACACACAGTGCCTTCACAACATGGCGGCGGCAGCAACAATACTACAGCGAGAATAAAAGTTACGCCTTCTTTCTTTGCGTGAACATTTGTGCGGCGTTATGCAAATCTTCCCACATCGTGACGTAGACATGTGGGGGCGTGTTAGAACAAGCCGTTTTAGGTAGGCATGGCTGACTCTTAACTTTTATAGAGAATATCTCTTTGGATTTGAGACTTTAGTCTTTGCAACTTTACAGATCTTCTTTATGCACCAAGAGCTTGTAACACTCCAAAGAGAAAGGAACAATTTAAATCACATCATATGACCCCTTTAAGGTCACTTGATATTTCATAAGCACACTTTTTTGCATTTATCATGCATTTTGACATTAGACATCATGCCGACATATTTTATTGCCAGGATAATGATTTTTTTTTATTGCACGGGTAATATCTTTTGTGCTTGTCAAGAAAATATGCATTCTGCTTTCTCCTGGAACTGTTTGAAGTGCATTGCACTTGAAGCTGATGCATTCCAGACTGTTTTATAGGTTAACAAAATGCTCTAGAAAAGAAAACTGTAATAGCATCTTGAGAAAATGCGTCTGCTCTTTGTCGACCTCTGGATATCCTGCTGTGGGAAGTTTGATTTTATGTGGTGAAAATCAAGTTTTCAACATTGTTTACATGTCATTTTGGTGTTTTTAACATGATTAAAGACAAACCATGTGCAAATTCATCATTTGGGTGAAAGTGGAGCAGGTCTGAGCTGCTGTGATTGAGTGGAGGCGGGGACTAATTTGCATATTCATGAGTCCACATATACGAAATGAGTTAAGGGTGTAGAGTTCTATTAAAGCCATTTTAAGGCACAAATAAAACAATTTCACAGGAAATATGATATGTTGTTTTGGTTATGAACGTTTTAAAGGGATAGTTCATCGGAAAAAAAAAATTGTCATCATTTACTCACCCTCAAGTAGTTCCAAACAAGTTTCTTTCTTCTGTTGTTGATGGTAACAGTTGATGGTAGCCATTGACTTCCATAGTATTTTCTGTTCTATGGAAGTCAGTGAGTAAATGATGACAGAATTTTGGGTTAAATTATCCCTTTAAGGAATAAAATTAGTAACTGCAGGGGACTTTTAACTGCAACTTCTGAGATATAAATGAAAATGTTATATTTGCAGCGTTCACAACATAAAAAACCTGGGATGACATTTGTCAGATGTCACGCAAATGCTACGTCAAAAGAGGTGAATGGATGCATGCTGATCCTGAGATTATATGCCACAGATTATTAACCGTTGGATTAGGAGCTCATATTCTGTGTTGTCCTGTGTGTGTGGTTGTACAGTGGTCTCGAGTAATGATTTTGGCTCTATTTTAGAGTATTTAGTGCATCACAACACTTAATGAGACAGTATTATAGTGTACAAGCTGTATCAACCTGTAAAGATTTTGCTATAATGTTTATGCGGTAGATGTGTTTGCATGGCTATTAAGTTCCAAATAAATACAGGAAAATAAGCAAATGAGATGATGTGCATTTCAGTTCAGTATTTAATTCAATGTATCATCATCTTACACACATTATAATGCTATAAACGCAAACGCCACATGGTCTTAAAGGAGTTGTGCACACACACACACACACACACACACACACACACACAGATGACACATGGGCGAGTATTTGGGCAAACATTTTGGTGGATTTAGATTATAATTAAATTGAAAGAGTTTTCTTTTTTCCAAAACTTCCTTGTTTTGGTGTTTCTTCTAGAAGCTAATGGGCTATTTGTATGCATTGGCGGTAATGTTAATAGGGACTTGAACTTTAACACCAAACATTCTGAAAGTTTGACCTTACTCATGTTACTTAACTTTTTCATAACTTTCATTACTGAGATGTCAGATCTTTGTGTGGTTAATGATTTTACAGGTGGGCTTTTGTGGTGTTGTTAATATTTAACTTATATTGTGTGCTTCAATAGTGTTTAATCGGTTTCTGTTTTACTGTATGGCACATTTTCATAATCCATTGGACATAATGACGAATCCTAAAAGCATTTTTTTTAGGTGAATCTCAATTTGCCTACTTTCCAATTTGTATTATATGCAAAATTGGGATTAGTGTATCCCAAATCATAGTATATTAAAATAGCATGACTAGTGTGCCCTAGTTTTATGTGGATTTTTTTTTTATACGCATGGCTTTTGAGCAAATATTGTGAACAGAGGCTTGTTACATTTTCAGTAGTAATGATTTTGTAATGATTTGTAGTACAAGTATGCAAATGCAGTAAAATGCAGTGCAACAGCCAAGTCCATGATAAAAAAAACTGCATTACCCACAATTCCAGCAATCAGACAGTTGCAGCAAGCAGATCATACCAAAAGAGCTTGCAGGGAATGCCCACTCGCATGAAGTACCTTGAAAAATGTATTCGGTCTTTCTGTGGTGTCAAATGACTTAATTGGTGTATATTTTGCAATAAACTTAAACAATTAGCAACTTTAAATTTTTTTTATTTTTTTTTTATTTGATTGTCTCACACTGCTTCATTGTATTGCAGTTCCTTTGTTCCTCACTAAAACTGTTAAGTACACAGTCTTGTTTCTTTGTCTTTTTATCTGGTTTTCAAATACTTTTTTGCTTTAAATGAACATTTGTAATGCTGTGATTTCACCTCATAGCTTGTATGCTTGGTTAAAGCTTAAAACCCTTTAACAAAGTTTTTAAAAAACTGAAATGAATGGGAAAAATGGGAAAAAACCAGTGCTGCTGAAAAAGTGGGCGGGCACTAATGCACTCTGTTGTTGTTGATGAGCAGAGGACTGGTGAAGGGGGCGGGGCTTAGAGCTCTGTTCTGATGTTGCCATGGTGATGCTGTCAGTCATTTTCTACCAAAACAAGCCACAATCTGATGGTTCCCTTTAGCAAGTTTGGTTGGATAGGCTAATTCCTTTTTCTTTGAACGGACCAGTTTTAGTTTGATTAATAAAACGACTGAAAGTGAGCTTGAGAGCCATCCATTCAGGTCCATGAGGCGTTTCTCAAAGTCTTTTATCCTTTATCGCACTTGGCATGCTGGCCTACTCACAGCTCGCACATGAACTCAGCGCGCTGTGCAGCTGTCCACACAAATAAACATTGTTTTATTGCCCAGGCCTTACGAACAGAGGAACACTTGTTTTTTAAAGAAGAGGGGGCAAGGAAGGGGGCGTGGCTATGGAGTTGGAGTCAGTCTATCCTGTGAGCCGAGCCAGCGCTGGGATTGACTCGACCGCCATCACAGCTGTGATAAGACCACTGGGAGAGAGAGAGACGTCCACACTGTAGACTAGAGAGACAGTGAGGAAGATCCGTGTGTTTGTGTTAACCCAGGACATATCTTGTGCATTCATCTACATAAAATTAACATAAACAAGCCCCAGCTCAAATTACACATTAAATGAAAAAAATCGAATCTTTTCAGAGAATGTTACTGGTAGATTAAAAAAAGTTTTTCTTTAGAATAATGTGCCTTAATGTGAGT